AAGGGCAGTCAAAAGCTTAGAGCTTTTGATACCGCATTGGGCGCCAGTGTAGTGACACGTATCCCGAAGGAGTACGGCCACTAGCGTGGGTTTGGTATTAGCGAGCTGCAGGGCATGCGTTAACCGTCGCCGTGGCGAGAACACGATACTGATCAAGCTCGCAACACCTTATTGTCTGTGACAACACCAAACGCAGTACAGCCTGTTGCAAAGGCGCGGCGGGAAAGCAAATGGGGTTATCCACGCCTTGGGCATAAAAGTACTACACTGGGTGCCACGAGCACGTCTCCGTAGTAAAGGTGATTCACGAAGACACCGGGACCAAGGCCTGGTTGCTCGAGCGAGGGCAAAGGCGCTCGCGTTGGCTTCGGAAGGAGACGGGTCGGCGTAGCGGGGCCGCGCACCAGGGCACCGTACCACTCTTCGACCGAGCTTTTGCAAAGGGGCAACAAAAGGTGAGCATTCGTCTCGGGTGCAAGGCGCCGTCAGCGAAATCCGACGAACCCCGAGCGACGGGAGTCGACGGACGGAAAAGATTGCGTGGCTCACCGTCAGCTGTCCCGGAGAGTATCTGACCCGCTCCGACGTGCGCAAAACCTCGCGGGAGACTTCGCGCGCGGCGCCACAGTTGACATCTGCTACCGGGTGAGAGAGGTTAAACATCATTCCGCTCTCCCAGCGTGGCAGACAGCGAAGGAGGGGAGTCATGTCGGGACATGAGAATGGCAGAAAAGGCGGCAAAGCTCGCGCAAAGGCAGCAGGCTAGCCTCTATTGCCACAGAGTAAACAAAATAAAACAGTTGAAATTTTCTAACTGGGAGCTACAGGGTTTAACAATGTACAGAATAAACATCGTTCATTGCACATTGTTGGGAAGCTCATCACGACACTTGCACAAAGTTTCCGTCGTAGGTTAACCGCTGTGGTTGCCACCACAGTCTTGTCGAACTTCTCGAAGTTGTGATGCTTGCCGCATTGGGTGCATTAAAAGTTTTGGGCCCACTACTCCAATTAGTAGCTTGTTTGCCGAAGTTCTCACTGCTGCTGGAACATGTGGGCCTTTTAAAGCTTTCATCGGTCGGAGGTAGGTGCTGGCGGTGTCAGTGGAGGACCCTTCCTTCCTCTGCGATGACATGGTATGGCCTGGGAGCATTGCATGGCTTGAGAACTCGTGCTTTGGTCGATCATGACCCTTCTTTAACTCGAATGGTTTCGCCTGCTCCCAGCGGCGCTAGGGTCCTCCTACAGGCGTTGCTCTGACATTGCTTTCAGACCGGAAATTCTGGAACAGAACAAACATCTGGTAGCGTTGTTCGCAGTCGCCTTTCTTGTAAACACCTCGGCAGGTGAAGGCATACCCTCCATCGGCGTCGTTCTGTAAGCGAGTAATTTAAGCCAAAAGTCTTGTTGCGCGTCTCTAGTTTTCTTTAGTGTTCTCTTAATGACCTGTACTCCTTTTTCCGTGAGGCCATTTGACTGTGGATACCTTGGGCTTGAATTGAAGTGACGGGTTAGAAATCGTGCCACTGAGAAAATGCAGCGAAGTCATGGCTTGTGAACTGCGACCCATTATCGGTACAAAGTTCAACTGGTATGCCATATCTGGCGAAGATGGCACTAGCTGCTTCTATGGCCGCTTTTGAAGATATGTCTTTGAGCAACACCATCTAGGGAAAGTTGGAGAGCACGTCATAAAAGCATAAGTATGTTATACCGCCATATTCGAAAAGGTCCGCCCCTACATGGTACCAAGGCTAGGGTGGTACTGGGCGCATCTTAAGGGGTTCTGCCAGCTGTTTATATGCGTACTTTCTGCATGATGCACACTTATGGCAGATTGATTCGATATCTTGATTTATTCCAGGCCACTAAACAAGCTGTCTTGCCCTTGGCTTACAATTGTTGACATCTAATTGACCGGGGTGATTGGGATTTAGCATTTCACATCTCATGGAAACCGGTATTACCATCTTACAGCTTTTCAAAAGTGCGCCCTTAACTTGAGATAGTTCTGCTTAAAGGAGCAGACTCCTTTTAGACACTTTTTCCTTATTTCTTCAGTGATCTTGATGAAACTGCACAGGCTTGTGTAGTTTTTTCTACTGGTTTCAAATGTGCAATTACTTTTCCTGTAACTCATCTCATTCCCAAGATAATGCAAGTTTAACCCCCATTGTTCAAGGCCTCGTTAAAAAAAGGGCCGAATTTAAAGCAACATTTAAGATATAGCAACATAGAATAATGATGGAAGATTGAATTAATGGAAGTGGTTTATTTTATTTGGCTTTTTTAGTTATTTTATGGCAGATTGAATTTTACACTCTGAAAAAGCAGTTGGCATGCTATTACAAATTTGATAAATAATAATTGAAAAGGCTTGTTTTCTAAATTTTATTTCCATACTTGCATTCTACGCACATACAGGTTTCTATGTCAAAGAGAATTATTGTTCTAGCTGCCATAGCTGCCGAGATATTGAGGCCTCAAGATTGAACAGAGTCATAAATTCACATTTTGAGAAAAATGGCAAAAACAGATAACACACACTTCATACAAAAACAACAAGAAAATGCGTATTTCACAAAGTAGATACTAATATCCACCAGGAACTTAGTCTGACTGGTGCATTCGATTTCTGACCAAACACGTTAGCATTCGATTTCTGACCGAATGAGTAGTGTTGACGCTAAGGACTTTTAAGGAGATGGTGATCAACATATGTATACATAACTTTTATAATTTGTAAATATCTTATTTCCTACTAGCTCAACTTATTACAGGTTCAATGACATAACAGTATGTGCGAAAGTTTCTAAAAAACAGCTACTCTCAATGACAGCAGCTGGACGCTGGCCATGTTTCATTTGTGCTCTCTTGTCGATGTTGCTTGTATAGTGGATCTTGATCGTTCAATTTCACATATTGTGGTGACCAAGGTGGTAAATAGTACTAGAAATCGCTGCCACCATCTCATTTCTGCAGCCGGGAAGTTCAGTTCACTGTACTCACTCCAGGTCATATATTGTCGAACATGTTTGTTTTCAAGTGTGTCGTGCAGCTGTGACAAGATGCGTAAAAAATTCCAGGAGCACCTCCTACCCATAAAAATTATTTTTGCGATTATACACATGTTACATGCAAGTTTTAATATCTTTTTATTTCTCCCAAAGCCAAGGCTTAGGAGAGCTAAAGTCATGGTCATTATTTGAAAATGTCATTTGTTTTCGTTGTGTGACAGCACGCAAGTAAAATGACATTAGGTCCACTTAATGTCATTCAGTGTAAATGACGTCAGATTTGCCGTGTGACAGGGGTATAAGGAATGGAAAGAAAAGGCAGGTATTCCTGCAAAGGAAACATGTGTACTTCACCTATGACTTCTCTCAACTGTTTGGCTCTCATAATAAATAATGCCAAATTCATTGTTGTAAGCGAAGCGAAAAAATTGTCATTTAAATTAAGCCATGTGCTTTAGTCCTGTAGCACTTTCAAGAAAAGTCGTCACGGAGTATAGGTCTTTAATGTGTTACCTTTATAGGGGTTTTTCTGGGACGAAACACGTTAGTTGTATAATGTTGCTCGTCTCGTAATTAGGAACATATACAGTTAAACCTCGTTATAACGAAGTTGAAGGGGCAGTCATGAATGCTTCGTTATAACCACTAGTTTGTAATAGCCAATATTTATTTCTATCGACAATTCCCCAGCAAAATAGAATGTACTCACCACCGAATATCACAGCAGCCCACTGCGCAGAGAAAAAAAGGCCGTCGAAAGGCAAAGAACTAGCAAAGTAATAAAGAACAATGCTCTTTTATTTCCGCCAAATTCAGCACACCAGCTGGCACATCACTTCGAAAAAAGTCCTTAATATTCTTTTGCCGACTCTTCCTCACTTATATGACTGCTTTTTCAGCTGCAGCAGCTTTTTCAAGTTCGTCCTTGCCATCATCATCAGCACCTAAGAAGCGGTGCAGCAGGTCTGTCGCATCCAGCGCCTGCAGGGGCGTCGAGTTCGCCAACATTAGGCTCCGGGGTGTCAACGAATTCGTCTCTGTCGCCATGCACCCTGTCACTGCCGGCACAATTTCCGCATCTGGCAACTCTTCGATTGTCACCGCATCAGCATCGCCACTGACGTGCGTGTTGGAACCGTTGCAGTCAGGCACAACGCCGGCATCAAGCAGAGCGTCCCAGGACGTCTGGGCCTGGTTGCCCGCAACACCCACTGACGACGTCGTTGAAATCTTCGGCCACTTTTTTTTTCTTGACGTTGGACTCAACGGCTTTGAACATTGCCGACTTTTGTTCGATTGTTATATTTTTGTGTTTAAGTTTGCAGCTGCCGTTGTCCATCTTATGTCTAGGGGAAGAAACTGATAGAGGTGGTATAACTCTTCCACAACGAGTGACAAGGAACAAAAGCACAATCTCCGCGCCGTCCCGGTGAGAAGCTGAATGGGAGAAGCAGAGGAAAAGGAGGTCATGAGATGCACGGGTGGGTCAACGAGTTCTGCAGGAGAGGGGAGGCCGGCTGACCCACACCCTTGCGCGAGTTGCTGCGTTGACGAGTCCATTAGTTCCCGAGAAAAGAAGAGGCAGGGAAATTTGCACCCATCCACGTGTTGCCAGCGGCTCCCGCGGAGCGCAAGGCACAAGTTTTGAATTACCGCAGCCGTGATAGGATGTAAGCTGTCGCACGCTATAAGATGTTGAATTGATGTATACCAAAATGATGAGTAAATGCTTGTTGTGGATGAAGAATGGTTCGTTATATTCATTGTAAGGAAATTTTTGCTTCGTTAAAATGAGGTTTTAAGTACATGGTCATCTGTGGGAATTTAAAGGGGAATTACGATTGCTTTGTTGTATTTGTACTGTAATTGAAATTCTAGCGAACTCTTGCTTTTTCGTAAATAGAGAAGGTATAAAATTAGTTGTAGTCACAGGTATTGTGATTTGTGCTTGGTTAAAGATCTTAGCCCCCTTCTTTTTTGCAGACATGCTGAACTCAATGCGGAACTCATGACAGCCAAGGCTACACCCTTGCTGGCTAGAAGGCCAGCAGCACGTGTGGAGAGTTACCCAAATGTTTACGACTCCTTTGCAGAGGCGAAGAAGTCAGCTGCCTTCATAGCCGGTGCCAAGGTTGGCTTTTCTTTTTATTTTGCACTGAATGTATTAGCGAAAAGTGTATAATGTTATATCAATACAAAGGCAGTTTATGTGCCTTCTTGGGGCTCCTTCCGGTTGACCACATTCAACGTTGCTCATAGCTGCCGCCTCTGACTGCTCAGTGGAAGCTCGCAGTCTTCAAAGGACTGGGAAATGCAAGAGCCAAGGAATGAGGAAAGTTGTGTTTAGCACAATTTCATGGCTTACAATTGATGAGGAAGCCCACCCAATCAGTGCAAAGATAGTTTTGATATTTCTTCATATTAAAGCTAGTGGCGCTGTGACTGATGAGAACTTTGGCTGGCAGATGATCAAATTGTGAGATTATTGGCAGACACGTTGGCATTCCTGAGTGATGATGTGACAGTGCCAGACCACCATGTCTCGAAAGTATCACTAAAGCAATAGTAGTGTTTCAGAAAGTGAAAATACACTACTTTGTATATTTTATCACTGATGCGTTCATTGGCACACCCTGCCACATTCTCTTTAATCGATAAAATCATCAAGTTGAGAACAATGTCATCTACGGAAACTTGACCACTGTGTGTGATTTTATTGGCACTGATTGCTGGAGGCAGGACATAACTAAGCAAGCGCAGTACACCAGTGCAACCAGTGGGATGATTCACAAGCACAAAATGCACTGTGTCAAGGCATGGAGGCAGCACTTAAAATAATGATGGTGACAAGTCCACACCAATGCTGAAGCTTCCTGGGCAACAAAAACACATTTTGAAAGCAGTCTGGCATTTGCCATCTGCATGCACCATGGTCATCTTCAGGGACGAAAGTGAATTGAGCTTTAATAAAACACCTGCAAGGTTTCTGGTCTGGGCCCAGCCCTCCTGGGCATTATTTATTTATTTATATATTTCTTAAAATCCGCAGAGCCAAAAGCATTAAAGAGTGGTTACTAAGAAGAAAAAACCCATAAACACAGAAAAAGCAGATAGAGCATCTAAGTTTTAGCTAGTTTAACTAGGCAGATGACAAGTCATGAACAATTATTAAAGTGCACTGAGGTTACAATACATATATGCAGCAGTGGTGGGAAATGTGTGCCGATTCCACCAACTTGTGCCAGTTGGAAATTACTGCGCCATACTGCTCCAAAAGGGTCTTTTTTGTCTAATTTGCGCCATTGCTGTGCCCAAGGTGGTTTTAGAACCGAATGTAATGTTGACAGCACCCATAAAACGTGGATGTTAAGTACTGGTCGTCATCTTTTATATGTGCACTGCTACATTTCCGCACAGTTGTGCCACTGCAAAAGCACACAATCGGCCAATCAATTATTCCGACTTCTGGCAATTGCGGCTGTGCCTTTTCTGATAACCATTAACGAAGAATAAAGGGGATATGGCAACTACGGAAACACACGCCAGTATGACTTATTGTCCATAAAAATCTACGTGTGTGGTGTAGCACTGCTTTAAGCCTTCTGCATGCTTTCAATAGCCGGCAACTGCCTGAGAGCGTTGAGGCGCCGATCGGTGCCGCCTGTATCGTTCAGCGTGCGCCGCTTTGCAGAAACGAAAGCAGATCATTGTTGTGGAGTTGAGTCTTGCGGAGTGCGGGCACGGAAGTGGCAAGCGTAGCACACTCTTTCATGAGGCGACAGCTCAAACCCGCTTCCGTCCTCTGCCAGGACGGCTAAAGCATCGTTTGCAGAAAGCTCGAATCGTGACGTTTACTCAACAGGCTTCTTGTCGCATCTGTGCATGGTCTGAAGTGGAGTGGGCGCAAGCGGCTCGGCACGGTGTGTGTGCCTAATAGGCGAAGCACTGCATGCAACTAGCCAGTAGATGATTGGCTCCCTGCAACCGTACCGCGTTTCAAAGGAACTGTCATTTTTTGCTAAGTATCTTATCGGGGTACACATTTATCGTGAACACACGATTATGCGCTTTTCATTATGCGCTGCATATTTGGACCCCGCAATACTTTTGAAATGCTCTTTGGCATCGTCACCGCGTGCCATATGATGGTCGTGTGAGAATGCCAATCGTTTCTGAACATTGGCAGAAAGAAAGAAGTGGCTTCGTGGGGGAACATGAGGCAATATTTGCTGTGGCACTATGTATATTTCTTTTTTAGCGGGGAAATGCAAATTGGTACTTTGTCATTTGGGGGAGCAAAGCTAGTCCCCAAACATTGACATAATAGGGAGAGAAGTGAGATGACGTAAAAATAATATAGGTGATGACACTGCGCTGGGCGGTGTGTCCAGATTGTGTTCGCCGCCTGGACTGTTTCCGCTTGATGCGACACAGGGCACTCACTGGGGAGCGACTCCGATTCACCTGTGGAAGGTGACTGCTGTGGAGCCTCGCTTGTTTGTTACTCTCAATATACGCATGTACACGGATGTCGAAAAATTGATACACTTTGGCTCTGCTGTAAACAGACAGACAGACAGACAGACAGACAGATGTAGTTTTATTGACAAACCAAAGAAAAGATTACAAGATATCTGGACGGTTAGCCTACATTGGCTAGTGATCGGTCCATATCGGAGTACATAAAAGCAGCTTAGCAGAGCATATTTAGCAATAAACACATATATACACAGTTATTTATGCATATAACTTTTCACATATGCACATACATAGTACATACAGAAGCGCGTGTACATATATGCATTTTCACAACATACACAAATATAGTTTGTTTCATCATCATCGTCATATATAATAAGTGACTGGGTAAAAAAAAAAAAAAACCTATTTATATGTCTTGATGCTGCAAGCAAAATAATTTCACACTGTGCTTAAAATTTCTTGCCACTTTAACTTCTAAGGGTAGTCAGTTCCAAATTTTAGTCCCATGAAATTCCAATAAGGGTTTTTCATATAAGTTATAGCTTGTAGGTAAGTTAAAATTGCCATTCGATGTGTGTCTAGTGTTTCGGGATGGTATTGTAAATAGAGTGGAGGAGAGGGGAAAGCTAGTGCCTATAATTTTCTGAACAAAAAGGGCAACCTTATAATCGCGAAGTGCCCAAACTGATAAGATTTGTTGTTTCTGAAATGTAGTTTTATATGAATTTCCATGGTTTCCACCTATTATGCTTAGGGCTCTCTTTTGTAGTCGTAGTAATGGCTCTAGGTATGTCATATACGTTACACCCCACGATTCAATACAGTAGCTAATATGTGAATGACAGAAGGAAAAATACAATGTTCGAAGCACGCTGGGGGGAAAGCATTCGCGTGCTTTGATTAAGGTATAACAACCGTAAGCCACCTTTCTACAAACACTCTGAATTTGTTCTTCCCAGTGAAGGTGCTGGTCTAAAAACACTCCTAAATATTTAAAAGAAACCACTTGTTCGATAGGACTGTTGTTCAGGTAAAGTTGCATAGACGCCGTGTCAACATCCTTTCGCCTTGATCAAAAAACAACATACTTCGTTTTCCCCGAATGTAGTGTCAATTTATTCTGTATAAACCAGTTGCTTACGTGTGTAAATTCAGACATTATGTTGGCTTGCAGTGTTGAGAGACTATCTCCTGTGAATACTATGGCGGTATCGTCCACGTGCATTAATGCTTTAGAGTACACTAGTGTTTTAGGGAAATCATTTATGTACAGAGAAAAAAGTACCAGGCCTAATATGGATCCTTGGGGCACTCCACACACTATTGTGCTGTATGCAGATTCGTCATTGTTAATCACCACTTTTTGTTTGCGCGAGGACAAGTAGCTTGAGAAGAACTGGAGTGAACTGTCACTGAAGCCATAACTTTCAAGTTTTTGTAATAGTATGTCGTGGGGAACTGTATCGAATGCCTTTTTAATATCTAGGAAGACTGCTATTGCGATTTCACCGTTGTGGAGCGCGGTGATTATATTGTGCGAGAGGGTTAGAATGGCTGATGCAGTAGACCTAGCGGGAACGAATCCGTGCTGTTGTGGGCATACGATGTCGTTGTCAACCAGAAAGCGTTTTAATTGAAGGACAATTATCTTCTCAAAAAGCTTAGAACCGAGATCGGTCTGTAGTTTTCAGGGTTGTTTGAGTGCCCTGATTTGTATACAGGAACTACTTTGGCGGTTTTTAAGCTAGATGGATATATACGACAGGTAAATGCATGGTTGAAAATATGACATATCGGAATGCAAAGAAGGTTAATGTTATCTTTAATAACCTCAACTGGTATTCTATCATCACCAGTGGCTTTATTGACTGGCATCTTAGCCACGACAGATTTGATTTCATCTGCTGTGACAGCTGCAAGGTTGAAATCATTATCAATTAATTTGGGGAGAGAAGGAGCAGATATCGACGAGCAAAACTGGGAAGCAAGGTTAGCACCAATACTAGTGAAATATGCATTGAAATCTTCTGCAACCTTTGAGAGAAAGAAATGGTTTGCCTAGCTTTATATGCTGCTTATTTGGTAACAGTGTTTTTGTCCAGCGCCTTGTCAATTTTTCAGTGCCCGGGCAAACCCTCTCTCCAGGCCGTCGAGCGCACGCTCCGCATCCGCTCGTTGCTGCCGCAAGATGGCGCTGGGCAAGTAGACTATGGGATGCTAGCACTGAACGGTCGCACGTATTAGGAAGCTCACAAATTCATGTTTTCATGCAAGTTAATTTGTAGTCGTGCTTCTTGACGGTTTTCACGGATGGATGCAGGGCGGGAAAAAAGTAACACAAACATAGCGGCGTGCTTTTTTCACCTGGCTCTATCAGGCAGTGCTACCGGTTCGATTTATACATTCAAGTTTTATAGCATTCGCATTTTATTTTCTCTTTCAAGCTACTGCAACCTCATTATTTTCATGCCTCAGTATATAATACTGCTGTGTACCACTGTGCATATCTGACGAGAAAAAAAAATCGGATTTTTTTTCTCATTTCTCGTTTGTTACAAAAAAAAGCAACAAAAAAACTCGCCGGTCCCCTTATAGATTCACCTGAGATGAGTGAAAGCCAAAAACTACCCTTTCTTTCTTCCGATTCAA